TGGGAAGGTTTTTGAATAATTTGCTCAAAACTGCACTTTATTTGGTTATTTCAAATAATAAGACCAAAAGTGTTTTGAAAAACAAATTAAAACAACTTAAAAAATTTAAAAATTTAAATGATTAAAAAAAATTATTTTGAATAGTTTGTAATACTGAAGTCATTCTTAAAACAGTGCAACTTTGTTTTTAATATAATTATAGTAAAAAAATTATATGTTTTTTAGAAACAAAACAAGAAAACACAAACAAATTTTTTTAAAACTATTACTCTAATTAATATACTATAACTAAACTATAACTAAAGTTGCACAATTTTTCTCAATTAATTTTTTGGGTTGCACCATTCAACTGCCTTTTGTTTATCGAAAATTTTGCAGCGAAAAAGTCTTTGAATCACACGAATTGGCTTGTCTCATTATTTTCTTTTTTATAAACGAGACGTTTAACATTTGCTCCATCCACAATCGATATACAACACTGTTTTATTCGTTTTGTATGACAATTGGAATTCTGGAATTTTTATGCTTTTTAATTAAACAAGCAGTTGAACTTATCATCTAATTATCGAGTTATATTTTATGTTGATTTATAACCTAATTTTACTTTTTGTTATTGTTTTTGTTATTGTTGAAAAATAGAGTTTCACCTTTGTTGTGAGTAAAAAACAAAGAAAAAATAAAGTTGCACACTTGTTCGGAATGACTTTATACAGATTTTTTTTTGATATAAAATGTATTTTTTTTAATATCTTAAAGTTTAACAAATAATATCTTTAAGTTTTCCTCATTAAAAAAAGTAAATAATTTTTCAAAATAAATACAATTATAGTATATAATTTATTATTAATTTTAGGTAAATTAATTTATTTTTATCGCAGTAAAACCTCTTAAGAGAGTTACCTCTGAAATACGGGTATTTTTTAGACTGAAACTAAAAATAAGGTTCTCTATCGAGCGGGTTTTAAGGTTTGATTGGCTAAAAATGCACTTTCTTGGGAGGTTTTACTGTACCACTTAACCAAAATAATTTATTTGTTTTTCTGGTAT